ATAATATGAAATATTGATGTCTCTAAATGCCAATGTACGTATCACGACCTGTGGAAAGTGAAGGTCAGGGCAGAAGTGACAGCCAACAGGTGTCTGGAGGCCGTGACCTTAACTGTGGTGCTCAGAAACGAGAATTTGAAGGAGGTTGTTGCAATGGCATGGATTAATCACTAGATGGCAAACATAGTTTGAGGTGGAAAATAAACCATTTAAAAGATGTAAACCGTTCAAGTTCTCTGCTTGATAAGGGTAAGAGGCTCACATCCCTAAATGGTAAACGGGATAGTGGGAACTAATATCAGAAAGAATACACATGCTGTTTCCTCAGAGCCTGTATTGAAAAGTCCAAACAAATTAAACTGGACATTTAAAAACTGACACCATCCTCAACTGCCCTTCCCAAATCAGTGTGGTCCACTGTTGCTTTGCTCAGGGGTGCACCTCCCAACTAAGCTCTCTAATGAGTCTGGGGTGCCCTTCTCCGCCTGGCAGAATCCCACTTCTTCCTGGGCAGCCTACAAGGCTCCTTCCTGGTCAAACCATCCTGGAACTTCCAGTCAAAACTGGTTTGCTCCTGCCTCTGTGCCCCCGTGGCACAATGCCAGGCCATCTACTCACACCCTTTCGGCTTTGCATAATAGTGATACATGTCTGCTACCTAGGCGATGGGATAAGCTCTTTTGAAATACAGGACATATGCCCACATAGCTTTCTATTTTGGGCAGTGCCCAACAAAGGATCCTTGCCCGCGGTACGCACTCGGTGCTGTTTGCTTTGGAAGGATGGAGTCAGGGTGGACAAATGTTCATTTCTGGGAAGCTTCTGGTAGGGAAGAGGTTAAACTGCACCAGACGTTTTTCTTTAAATGAAATTGTATGTTACTTAAATGTTTTATTGTGGTAAAATATGTATAACATAAAATGTGCCATTTTAACCATTTGTCAGTGTACCATTCAGTGATATCACTTTCATATGTTGTGCAACCATCACGATATGTATTTCCAAAACTTTTTCCTGACGCCAAACAGGAACTTGGTGATAATGAAACAATAACGCCCACATTTCCCCTCCCTGCAACTCCGGCTTAACGTCTAATCTCTTTTCTGTCTCTGAATTTGCCTATGCTCTAAGTGGGATCATTTGTCCTTTCGTGTCTGACTTATTTCACTTAGCATAATATCCTCAAGATTCATTCATGTTACAGCATGTGTCAGAATTTCCTTCCTTCGTTTGGCTGAATAATATCCCATTGTGTGTAGAGGCCACATTGTGTTTATCCAGTCATCTGTTCATGGGCACTTGGGTTGCTTCCACCTTTTGGCTATTGTGAAGAATGCTTCCATTAATGCTGGCATACAGTACCTGAGTAGTTTTTAGTTCTTTTGGGAATACACCCAGCAATGGCATTGCTAGGTCATACAGTTATTATATGTTTAACTTTTTGAGGAACCACCAATTTTTTCTAGTGGATAATATATGCTCATAGCACAAAATGTAAGATGTAGCAGAAGATTATATTGATGAAAAAAATTCTTTCATTTCTTTGTCCCCACCCTCATTTCCCGTCCCTGAGAGCAACTATTACCTTCCATACCCTTTCAGAAATAGTCTATGCATTTATAAGCATATATATATATATATATGTCTTTTTTCCTTTCTACACAAATGTTAGACTACTATAAACACTTTTCTTATCATTTTTCATTGTATCCTGGAAATTCTTCGATATCCGTACATAGAGAGTTGCCGCTTTTTTAACAACAGCAACATAGTATTCCACCTTACATCTATACCATAATGTTTAAACCAGCTCTCTATTGGTAGACATTTAAATTGNTGAGTTTTGGAGATTTCACAACAAGCTGAAGATGGAAGACCAAACTGGGGATTTTTGCCATATTTTACTGTTTTACTTCCATAAAGGGAAGAATGCATATCATGCTTGTGAAAAGTTGCATCAAGTTTACGGTGACAATACTCTATAAGAACATTAGTGCCAATGATGGTTCACGAAATTCCGTGCTGGTGATTTTGATCTCAATGATGCTCCTCAGTCAGGGAGGCCCACCGAGGTTGATGACAAAATAAAGGCATTGATGGAGTCAAACTCACGTTACATGGCACAAGAGATTGCAGAAACATTGAACATCCATCATTCAAGCATTCACGACCATCTGAAGAAGCTGGGATACATAAGCAAGCTCGATATTTGGGTTCCACATGAACTCAAGGGAGTTCATTTGACGGCGCATATAAACATCTGCAATATGCTTATTAAACATGATGAAAATGATCCTTTTTTGAAGTGACTGATAACTGGTGATGAGAAGTGGATTGTTTACAACAATGTGGTGTGCAAACAGTCTTGGTCCCAATGTGATGATTCGCCTCAAACGACATTGAAAGAAGACATTCATCAGAGGAAGTTTATGCTCTCAGTGTGGAGGGATTTTAAAGGTGTCATGTTTTTCAAGCTCCTACCAAGGCACCAAACAATCAATTCGAATGTGTACTCTCAGCAATTGGACAGTTTGAATGAATTCATCATCCAGAAACGTCCAGAGCTTGTTAATTGTAAAGGAACTGTGTTCCATCATGACAGCACGAGGCCACACACAAGTTTGATCACCCATCAAAAATTATCGGAGCTTGGATGGGATGTGTTGTCACACCCACCATACTCGTCTGACCTTGCCCCGTCAGACTCCCACTTGTTTCGCTCTCTTCAAAACTCCTTGCGTGGTATAACATTCAATTCAGATGAGGCTGTAAACCAGCACCTTGTTCAGTTTTTTGCAAATAAAGACAGGTTATTCTATGAATGAGCAATTATGAAGCTCACTGAAAGATTGCAAAAGGTTATCAAACAAAACAGACAATATATCATTGATTGATCTTTGTTCTTTATATAAATAAATGACCTTTGAAAAACATAGACAAAACACATCATGACTTTTCCGACAACCCAATAAAAAGGTGGGAAGTAACTACACGTGGCTCTGAAAAACAAGGGCTATTAAAAGACAATAGCCAGGTTCTGGTCCTTGCTTTGACTTATAAAAGTGTGATCCTGATTAGGGCTCTTCTGCCTCTCAGGTCCTAGAGCTTATACCTGGGAGCTGGATTCATGCCCAGGCCTGTCTACTTACCTCTTCATGCCCATGCCCTTTCCCAGCCAGGCGACCCAGGGAGAACTCGGGCTGCCTTGCCATCACTTTCTACCAACCCTCTCTACACCTGCCCACCAGCTACTGCCTCTCAGCCCTCTTCATCATGCTCCACTGGCCACCACAGGAGCCTTAAGGGCCTTTTTGAGTGAATATGGAAACTCTGCTTTTTAGAATATCAAGAATAGGACTTACCATTTTCTCTACAAGTTTAACAAAGATGTGGTAGAGAAAACAGAATTAAAACTGTAGGCGATGGGAAAGAACCATCATGTTTCACTTACTAGTAGAGACTATTATTACCAATCTTGTTAAAGGATTTGCTACCTAAAGAATCATAAACATGCACAAATCATAGCATTTTAAGCATTTAGTTTTTTTCTTTCTTTACTTACAGAAAAGACTATGGAAAGTTCAAGAACTATTATATGATAATTTAAAATACATATATATTTTTATATGTACATATATAAAGTCTTCATCTCCATTTATAAGATCTATATGTATATTATATAAAAATATATATACATACACAATATATGTGAATATAAGAAACTAATATTTTAGTGCTTTAGTATATATAAAATAATTATAAATGGAGACAAGAACTTTTAATATATGTTATTTTATATTTTATATATTTATGATATATAATATATTATGTATAGTATTTTATACATCTATATTATATATTTTATATATTATAAAAATTACATATATATATATATATATACATATAAATATACATACATATACACACACTAGACAGTGAATATAAAAGAGACTAATATTTCAGTTCTGTTATACTTGCCATGTATCCTAGGCCTACGACTTATGATTTTTAGGCTGTATTTGAAATCTTACCAACTAGCAAACAGGCCAAGATTCAAAAGTAAAATAAAGAAAAGTATTCATCTGTCCAACACTGACTGAATAGATATGGACAAATGTTTTTATTCCATTCACCAGCTTGTATGCATAACTGATTGAAAGCTGAAAACTGACGACTGTAGAACTTTGGCACCTGTAGTTGAAGTGCATTATTGCCTGGAGAGCGTTTCCTCCACCGGTTGAAATGTCTCCTTCAAACCCTGGCAGAAGTGGTATCACAACATACACCCGGTATCTCTGGTTTTCCCTGCAAAAGTCAGATGCAGAGAGATTTACCAAAAAAAAGATACATACAGGAACAGTTTAACATGGCAGCCAAGCAGTTCACATGGTTTTGGAGACTGAGTGAATGGCTTCCTACAATATATTCTATCACATTTAAGGGCTTCAGGGTGCTGCTGCATTGAAGCCAGAAGCTATTTTCCAGGGTGACAGTTCATAACAATCTGAAAAGTAAGCTAAATTTGGCAGTAAAGTAAGAATTGTACCCACTATCTCTCTACAGTATAATCCTTTCTAGGGCAAAATTCATTGTAAGAAAGGCTTGCTTGGATCCCATGGAAGGTGAGGGGGTTACAACAAAGCTCTCAAAAAGACTTTATGATAATAGTTTAATGTGTAACAAGTTTCCTCCATAATACCTAGCTCAGAGCCTGGAGAATAGTAGGTATTCAGGCATTCAGTTAACAGTTGTTCAGTAAATGAGTTCCCACAGCCTAGATCTCAGGGATAAAAAGACACAGTG